TTGTGGAGAAGACAAGCAAGTGAAGTGCTGGGATCGTGAGTATAACAAGGTTATACGGCACTATCATGGCCATCTAAGGGCAGTGTACGGTCTGGATTTGCATCCAACAGTCGACGTCCTGGCGACTTGTAGTCGAGATTCAACTGCACGGATCTGGGACGTGAGGACTAAAGCCAGTGTGCACACATTGTCCGGACACACAAATGCAGTTGCTACCGTGAGATGCCAGGCTGCAGAACCACAGATTATCACTGGGAGTCACGATACCACAATACAATTATGGGATCTGGTGGCTGGAAAGACAAGAGTGACATTGACGAATCATAAGAAATCTGTCAGGGCTGTGGTCTTACATCTACGACATTACACATTTGCATCTGGGTCTCCAGATAACATAAAGCAGTGGAAGTTCCCTGATGGAGGCTTCATTCAGAATCTCTCTGGTCATAACGCCATCATCAACACGCTGGCAGTCAGTGCCGACGGAGTGCTTGTGTCTGGAGCTGACAATGGCACCATGCACCTTTGGACTGGAGAACTGGCTGCAATTTTCAGCGGGTCCATGCTGCTGTCCAGCCTGGGTCTTTGGACAGTGACTCGGGAATATTTGCTTGTGCTTTTGATCAGTCGGAAAGCTGGTTGCTAACAGCAGAAGCTGATAAAACCATCAAAGTTTACAGAGAGGACGAGACCGCCATGGAAGAAACACACCCAGTTAGCTGGAAACCAGAGATTATCAAGAGGATAATCTGAGTAAATTGGGAGCATGAGGACCTTGGGGGACGGTTGAAGGGAGGAGGGGAGAGGCAAGGAGGGGAGCAGAGAAAAATGCAGAGCTCAACAAATATCAATAAAAAATTTAAAAAAATAAAAAATAAACAGAGAAATGTCTGTGAGAATATGGAATCCAAAGGGTGTATTTCATTTTTTTTTTTGGTTTTTTTTTTTTTTTTTTTTTTTTTTTTTTTTTTTTTTTTGGTTTTTCGAGACAGGGTTTCTCTGTAGCTTTGGAGCCTGTCCTGGAACTAGCTCTTGTAGACCAGGCTGGCCTCGAACTCACAGAGATCCGCCTGCCTCTGCCTCCTGAGTGCTGGGATTAAAGGCGTGTGCCACCACCGCCCGGCCCAAAGGGTGTTCTTTGGGTGCTGTTTACCTTCAGTTTTTCTCTCTCTCTTTTTGTTTTTGTTTCTCAAGATGGGGGTTCTCTGTGTAACAACCCTAGCTGTCCTGGAACTAGCTAGAACCCACAGAGATCCATCTGCCTCTGTCTCCAGAGTGCTGGGATTAAAGGCCTTGTGGTATCACTGGCTGGCCTGTTTGTTTTAAAGGATTTATGTGGATGAATGTTTTCCCTGCATATGCACTATGTTGGATCCCTTGGAACTTGGGTTATGAATTGCTGTGAGCCACGCTGGGTGCTGGGAATTGAACCTGTATCGATTACAACAGCAGTAAGTGCTATTGAGCCATTTCTTCAGTCCCTTACTTATTCTTTGAGGCAGGATCTCTTATTGATCCGGAACTTGACATGTGGGTGTGGCTGCAAGCTCTCAGAATCTGCATCTCCAGGGCTGGTTTTATAAGCATGGTCTCTCCGACCTGACTTCTTTTTTCATAGAGGCTCCATGAACCTAATTTATTTCCTCACCAGAGCACTTTGTGGCTGAGCCATCTCCATAGCTCCCACTATTCATACATATTAGGTTTAAGAGCTGCCTCAGGACTGGAGGTGTAGCTCTTGGTAGAGTGCTTGCCTGGTGTGTGCTTTGCTTCTCCTTTCTGTGTTATCTTGTAACTGAAAGCAACTTGGGGTAAGTGAAGTTAAAACAACCCAGGACCAGCTGCTGCCTAGGAATGGTACTTACTGTGTGCAGTGGACTGGATCCCTCTAAGTCAATGAGACAGCCCACCTTACAAAAAAATTACCACAAAATCCCCACAGACCAACTTTTTTTGTTTTTTGTTTTGTAGAGACAGAGTTTCTCCATATTTTTGGAGCCTGTCCTGGAGCTAGCTTTTGTAGACCAGGCTGGCCTTGAGCTCACAGGGATCCGATCGCCTCTGCCTCCTGAGAGGTGGGAAAAAAGGCGTGCGCCACCACCGCCCAGCAAGGACCATCTGATTTAGCCAATTCCATAGTTGTGGTTTCCTATCCCAGGTGACAATAGTTTACTGTCAAGTTGACAGAAATTATTACTGTGTATATATGAATGTACCTATGGGACTCTGAGGCCGGTTTCATGGATTTTGCTCTCTCTCCTTTACATGGGTCCAAATATCAAACTCAGGTTGGTATGCTGGTGTGGCACACAGTGCCTTTACCCCCACCGCACTGTCCTGTCCTCGTCTTGAGCACCTACTCAGAAACATTCTAAGGAATAAGGGAGGGCTCCCTTGAGCCCTGACCTTGGATTACTTGGCCTTTTGATTTTCCATCAACAGCCAGGAAACACAAAGTTTTAAGGACATAGTAAGCGGGGCCAGGCAGTGGTGGCACATGCCTTTGAAACCAGCACTCAAGAGGGGGGCAGATGCAGGTGGATCTCTGTTAGTTCAAGGCCAGCCTGGTCTACAAGAGCTAGTTCCAGGACAGGTACCACTACATTCCCCATTACATCACTCATTGCAGTTGGGGACAGAAACAGGTACTCAGTGAGAAGCACCTGTTCATGGGCACATACAAACCAGGCCTGTGTGTCCTTTCCAGGATGTCCAGGGCCTGGTTTTATGCACATCACAGTCTCGCTAATGCTTGGTTTGTTATTTTACTTCCTCTTAGAATTTCGGAACACCCTTTCTAGCCTGGAACCCAGCAGCTCTCAGTTCCATGCCCACAGCCTTGGGTGAGAGGATCTGTTCCTTCAGGGCCCCAAGGTCTTGTGGAATGACCTGTAAGGATGTGGGAGTGTCGTATCAATCTGTTGATTTCATTGGTTAAGCAATAAAGAAACTGCTTGGCCCTCATAGGTTAAAACTTAGGCGGGAGGAGTAAACAGAACAGAATGCTGGGAGAAAGAAGCTGATTCAGGGAGTCGCCATGATTCTACCACTCCAGGCAGACGCAGGTTAAGATCATTCCTGGTAAGCCAGCTCGTGGGCTACACAGATTAATAGAAATGGGTTAGATCGATATGTAAGAGCTAGCCAATAAGAATCTGAAACTAATGGGTCAGGCAGTGTTTAAAAGAATACCGTTTCCGTGTCATTATTTCGGGTAAAGCTAGCTGTGCGGGTGGCCGGGTGCCGGGGATGCAGCCCACTGCCGTTATTTCAACATTGTAAGAAGGATGAGCTAAATGAAGTGTCTACCTGAGGCAGTCTTCTCATCCCCTCTGCTATGTGCCCTCTTTCCCGAGGCATCTCCCTGTCCATCCATTCCTGCTCCTCAGCTAATTTAAAATAAAGTGGCTTGGCTCTCCCTGGTGTGTTTTCTATGTGTCTTCACCCACATGAGATTGATTCTGCTGGACATTTCCTTCTCACCTACCTGCTTCCTGTGACCTCTGCCTCTGATTTCTGACATTTATAGATACACGTTTGACTCCACGTTCAGGTGAACTTGGAAAGCAATGATTTCCCCTGTTACGGTGAGTAGAATGGGTTCAGATGTTGGTCTGAGGCAGTCTTGATGAGATCGCAGAGGAGCGTGTGGTACCCTGGTGGGCACTAGATCTAGGCAGTCACACTGTCAGACTGCTTAGTGTAATGATTTCATTTACATATTAGTAAATAAAGCTTGCCTAAAGATCAGAGTGTAAAACAAACACCCTGGTAGCCTCCCTGACCAGACAGTGGCATCACACACCTTTAATCCAAGTAGCCAGACTAGTTTACCATAGAAACCAATCGGTAGTGGTGCATGCCCTTAATCCCCGCCCTACAGAGGAATATAAAACAGGAGGAGACAGCTCTCAGCCAGTCCCATTCTGAGGAGTCTGGAGGCAGGATTGCTATACTAGGACTGACAGAGAGGTAAGTGGTAGTGGCTAGCTGCTTTGCTTTCTGGTCTTCAGGTTGAACCCCAATATCTGTGTCTGTGTTTTTGTTAATTGTGCTACAGCTTATTGAGACTTACTCCAGATTCTCTACACCTCCTCATCCTTAGCAGCCCAGCCTGTATTGTTGCAGCAGGCTTCTCAGTTTCTCTGAAATTGAGTCATCTTCAAAAACAAACAGACAACACCCAAAACCTTTTTTTTTTTATTGTTTGGTTTTTGAGACAGTATTTCTCTGTGTAACAGTCCTAGCTATCCTAGAACTCACTTTGTTGCCCAGGCAGGCATCAAATTCACAGAGATCCGCCTGCCTCTGCCTCCCGAGTTCTGGGATTAAAGGTGTGTGCCACCACCTCCAGCCTTTCTTTTTTCTTAAATAATGTAAATATGTTTCCTATACATTCTTTTCTACTTTAAACCCATGACTTGTGTAATTAAACTCTTTTAAAAGTTCCCATAGTGCTTTTGCCTCGTTAGTGTAGAATAGAAATATTCTTTGGAGTGAAACAGCAGAAAGTCTGCGAATCTGCAAGCTTGGCTTGTGTATTAGTTTGCTGTTTATTCACCGGACGGCTTTGTGTTTTCTTTGCTTACAAATGTCAAATAACTCTTATGTTAGTAACAGACTTAAGAAAAAGACTGAAAATTTTCATTTTAACAAAGTTTTAAGCCAGGGCTTGAGGGGTGAACATCTTTAATCCCAACATTTAGGAGGCCAAGACAGGCATGTCTCTGTGAGTTGGAGGGCATCCAGGTCTACATGGACCAGGAGACCCTGACTCAAAATATAAAAAGCAAAACAAAATTTAAGAGTGTAAGAAAATACAATACCCAGAAAAAGTATTTGTCAAATGCCAAAAAACCTGAGACCTAAGAGTCTCATCACAAATAATAAATTTATTTTAAAATTAAATTTATTCTTTTTGAGACAGTGTCTTGTATTATTTGCATGCACTATATTGAACTTTTAAAAATTTGTAGGTCAGCCTCTCCCTCATTGCTGTCATGGTGGCAACTCCACCGCTCTCCAAAGTTGAATATCTGAAGCGTTACTTGTCTGGGGCAGATGCCTGCCAGGAAGGAGGTTCAGAGTCCCTTCGGAAGAGGTACAAAAAAGGACCAAAGCTGGGAGGCACCACTGGCAATGGATTGCGGATTGTTGATGATGATGTGGGCTGGGCAGCTATCTCTACTGCTAAGCCGGAAAAGGAGGAGGACGAGGATGGAGATTTGCCTGAGGTGGCTGAGTTCGCTGATGAGCGTCCAGAAGAGGTAAAGCATATAGAGGCCTTCCGCTCCAGTGCCAAATGGAAGCTCCTGGGAAACCACAGTGGAGATGGACATACCATCATGATGAACCAGATCCAACTTCTCCTAGGAGGGTTCGTCACGACACCCCAGATCCATCTCTTCTTAGCAGGGCCGCCATGACACCCCAGATCCATCTCCTCGCAGGAGGGCCCATCTCTCTCCTCCTGAAAGGAATACCCATTCCAGAAAGAAGACTGTATTTCGAGACAAGTCTGGTCAGAAGAGGAATTTGAAGCTGGAACGCCTGGAGCAGAGGAGAAAAGCAGAGAAGGACTCAGACAGAGATGAGCTCTATGCCCAGTGGGGCAAAGGGCTTGCTCAGAGCCGGCAACAGCAGCAGAATGTAGAGGATGCCATGAAGGAGATGCAGAAGCCTCTGGCCCGCTGTGTCGATGATGAAGATCTGGATCGGATGTTGAGAGAACAAGAAAGAGAGGGGGACCCGATGGCCGACTTCATTAAGAAGAATAAGGCTGAGGAGAACAAGCACAAGAAAGCAAGGCCTCGCTATAATGGTCCTGCACCTCCTCCCAATAGATTCAGTATCTTGCCTGGCTACCGCTAGGATGGAGTGGACAGATCCAATGGCTTTGAACAGAAGCGCTTTGCCTGGCTCGCCAGCAAGAAGGCTGTGGAGGAGCTTGCCTACAAGTGGAGTGTGGAGGACATGTAGCTTCTCCGAGGCTGTGTGGTGCTGTTTCTCTGAGGCTGTGCGGTGCTGTGGTGGTGGTGGTCCAGGACAGCCCGACATCCAGCTCTAATGCTTGTCTTGCTAGACACAGACCAGCAACTCGCGGTCGGTTGTGACCTTTGGACTAGGCACCTACCCTTGGTTGTGTCCATGTTGTCTGTTTACCTACTTACAGCGACTTCTCTATCCCAGGGCTTGTTCTTAGCCAGTGCTTACCTTCTTATTTTAAAAATAAACACATATTTTTTTTTAAAAAATAAATAAGTAAATAAAGAAAATTTGTATGTCTAAGATGTGCTTGGTAGCACAAGCCTTTAATCCCAGCACTGAGGAGGCAGAGGCAGGTGTATCTCTGTGAGTTCGAGGCCAGCCTGGTCTATAATTTCAATTCCAGGACAGCCAAGGCTATGCAGAGAAACCCAGGCCCCTTAGGGACTATCTTTGCAGAGGATCTGTGAGTATCCTTTGTGGCTGATCGTGAGAAAAGAACTTCTCAGTCAATCATTTCCCAGCACGGTACCCGTACCCTGAAGGCTGTCTTCTCAGATACTCTCATTTGAAATTTGCTCTGTTATACCTTGGCGCTCTCAGTGGGTGTTGTCTTCTTTCTGTTGTGCTAGTGCAAAGTCTGAAGTGTCTCCATAATGGTGCTAGCCTTTAACTTACAGCTGCTTTGTCTCCACCTGCCCATTCTCATGTGAACTGGGTTCAGGTTCCTTTCCTTACTAAGATGCACAGGCTGTCTATAACTTTGACAGGGTTCATATCCTTTCATTTATTTATTTATTTATTTATTTATTTATTTATTTTTGCTATTGTGCTCATTTTTTATGTCTTTCTGTTTTCTCTCTCTCTCTTTGTACTTATGGGTAAATACTGTAAGCAATAACCAAGGCATAGCTCCTTTTTGTATTGTCTTGAAATTTCCTCCTTCAACTTAGCCGCCCCCACTTTCCTCCTCGAAACAGGGTTTCTCAGTGTAGCCTTGTATGTCCTGGAACTCACTTATAGACCAGGCTGGCCTCAAACTCAGAGATCCTCCTGATACTGCCGTCCAAGTTCTGGGATTAAAAGTGTGCGCCATCTCCGCTGACCATTAGCCCATTGATTTTCTTCTTTTCTTTTTCATTTTTTGGTTTCTCGAGACAGGGTATCTCTGTGTAGCTTTTGGAGCCTGTTGTGGCACTCTCTAGCTCCTATAGACCAGGCTGAGCTCTGCCTCCGAGTGCTGGGATTAAAGGCGTGTGCTCCCACTGCTGACCGTTAGCCCACTGAATTTTAAATTCACTCTCACTTCAGCTTTCAGGATATGGTCAAAACCAAAAAAAACAGTTTTTTTGCCAGAATAGAATGCAAATGGCCTCCAGGTCAATTCTCAATAGAGTCTGTCTCTCTGAATCCTCACAGAGAGCTGGGGAGAGGAAGAGAAAAAGAGATAGTAAAGAGAGAAGAGAGAAGAGAAAGAATGAAAGAGAGAGAAGAGAAGAGAAGAGAGAAAGAGATAGAAATAATGAAAGAAAGAACCCCAGGCTGATCTTAAACTTCAGATTTTCCTGCCTCAGCCTCTAGAGTACTGAAAAAATATCTGTCTATCACTACACCCAGCTCAAACATTTTTCAAGAGAGAAGAGAAAAGTTTTGGGGTTTGTTTTTAGTAACACAATGTCTTAGGGTTTCTATTGCTTTCAGCCAAATGCCAGGAGCAAAAACCAAGTTGGGGCAGAATGGGTTTTTCTTTTTCTTTTTTTTTTAATATTTATTTATTTATTATGTATACAATATTATGTCTGTGTGTATGTCTGCAGGCCAGAAGAGGGCACCAGAACTCATTACAGATGGTTGTGAGCCACCATGTGGTTTCTGGGAATTGAACTCAGGACCTTTGGAAGAGCAGCCCATGCTCTTAACCACTGAGCCATATCTCCAGCCCCCAGAATGGGTTTTTAATCTTATGTTTCCACATTGCTTTGTTCAGCATGAAAAGAAGCCAGGACTGGAAGGGAATCAAGCAGGACAGGAACCTGGAGGTAGAAGCTGAGGAAGAGGCCATGAAGGAGTGTTGTGTACTGGTTTGCACCTTATGGCTTACCCAACCTCCTTTCTTATAAAACCCAGGACCACCAGCCCATCGATGGAGCCACCCACAATGGGCTGGACCCACCCCCATCAATAACTAGTTATGAAAATGCCTTACAGCTGGATCTTACGGAGGTTTCTTCTCAGTTAAGCTTCCCTCCATTCAGATAACTGTGGTTGGTGTATCAGGTTGATATACGACTAGCCAGTACACACAATTAGCCAGTTATAGGGGCACATATTCATAATCCCAGCACTAAAGAGGCTAAGAAAATGTGGGCCATGTATTCAAGGTTAGCCTGAGCTACGTAGCAAGCGTGTCACAAACAGACAAACAAAACAAGGCCTCCCTCAGTTAGGCAGGCATGGGCCATGTGAGATCTGTCTTCAAAATTAATAACGTAAAAAAGAGCCAGGTGTGTTTTGCATGCAAGCTAGTAATCTAAACTCTTAGGAGGTAGAGGCAGGAGGGTCAGAATTTCAAGGCCAGTTCCAGAGCACGTTTGATGCCAGTCCAGTAGTACAGGAGAACATGTCTTAAAAGGTGTAGCAAAGGAAATATACACAGTATTCCTTATATTACTTGACATAGTAATACGCCTTATGGTCTGACTTCCTTGCTCATGTTCTCTCCTCTTCTACTCTTCATCTGGCCCCTGGGAGCTCACATGTGGGTCTCTGTCTCTATCTCCGTACATTGCCATATGAAGGTTCTTTATCAATGACTTCTCAACCAGCCCTCCCCCCCCATTTCAGCCACATTCAGAGAGTCTGGTTTGGTCACATGCTCATTCAGTCCCGGTCTAGCTGGATTTGGTGAGCTCCCATTAGAACAGGCGCACTGTCTCAGTGAGTGGACCAAACCCTCGCGGTCCAGATTTTCTTGCTCACCTTCTCCCTCCTTCTGCTCTTCAATTGGACCTTGAGAGCTCAGTCTGTTGCTCTGATGATGGACTTTTGTTGGACTAGAAGTCCAAACATCAGGGAGGAGTTGCTCCAGACACCACTCACAAAGCCTGAATTGATGCAAAAGCAAGAGGATTTTTATTCTGTTATGGCAGGGCCCTTAAGGTTCGAGATATGAAGGACATCTGATTGCTGTTACAGCCCATCTTTTAAAGTAAAAAGCCACAGACAAAAGTGGGGAACCTGCAGGTTGTTTTCCAACTTATTGGATTGGCTTATTCAAAGGGTTACTAGCAGTGATTGATCTATTCCAGGGCCGGAGAATGGCTGTGTGATCGAGTGAGATAAGAGAGCATCTCTGTGGTCTTCTTGACCTTGTTCTAGTGACTAAATATATCAGGAACTGAGGCAACATCTGCGGGTTGTCTTTGCCTCAATTCCCAGAATGGAGTTATGTTTGAAGATTATTCACAAGGACACAGGAGGATGAGCAGTCCAGCATGTGTGTGTGGGGGCGACTGTCCCGTTTCCAAGAGAGAGTGAGGGTAAGGTTTTAGAAAAATGTCTTAGGGTTGAGGGTGCTTAGAAATGCATTTAGAGTCTTTCACGTTCTCTCTATCTCCACCATCGCTGCAGTTCCTTACTCTTTGAGGCAGAATCCCTCATAGATCTGGAACTTGACATGTGGGTGTTGCTGCGGCTCTCCGAATCTGCTTCTCCAGGGCTGGTTTTATAAGCATGGTCTGTCCGGCCTGACTTCTTTTTTCATAGAGGCTCCATGAACCTAATTTATTTCCTCACAAGAGCACTTTGTGGCTGAGCCATCTCCATAGCTCCCACTATTCATACATATTAGGTTTAAGAGCTGCCTCAGGACTGGAGGTGTAGCTCTTCGTGGAGTGCTTGCCTGGTGTCTGCTTTGCTTCTCCTTTCTGTGTTATCTTGTCATTGAAAGCAACTTGGGGTAAGTGAATTTAAAACAGCCCAGGACCAGCTGCTGCCTAGGAATGGTACTTACTGTGTACAGTGGACTGGGCCCCTCTAAATCAATGAGCCTCCCCACATTAAAAAAAATCCCACAAAATCTCCAGAGGCCAACGTTTTTTTGTTTTTAGTTTTGTTGAGACAGGGATTCTCTATAGCTTTGGAGCCTGTCTTGGAGCTAGCTCTTGTAGACCAGGCTGGCCTGGAACTCACAGAGATCCGCCTGCCTCTGCCTCCCAGGAGCTGGGATTAAACGTGTGTGCCACCACCGCCCAACAAGTCCCATCTGATTTAGGCAATTCCACAGTTAGGGTTTCCTATCCCAGGTGACAATAGTTTACTGTCAAGTTGACAGAAATTATTACTGTGTACATATGAATGCACCTATGGGACTCAGAGGCCGGTTTCATGGATTTTGCTCTTTCTCCTTTACATGGGTCCAAAAAATCAAACTCAGGTTGGTATGCTGGTGTGGCACACAGTGCCTTTACCCCCATCTTACTGTTTTGTCCTTATCTTGAGCACCTACTCAGAAAAATTCTAAGGAATAAGGCAGGGCTCCCTTGAGCCCTGACCTTGGATTACTTGGCCTTTGGATTTTCCATGGACAGCCAGGAAACACAGTTTTAAGAACATACAGGCAGGGCCAAGCAGTGGTGGCCCACACCTTTGATCCCAGCTCTCAGGAGGCAGAGGCTGGTGGATCTCTGTGAGTTCGAGGTCAGCCTGGTCTACAAGAGCTAGTTCCAGGACAGGTTCTAAACCTACAGAGAAACCCTGTCTTGAAAAACCAAATAAATAAATTAATAATGATATGGGAGTCTTCTGTTTGTGTTGATTTCATTGGTTAAATAAAGAAACTGCCTTGGCCCTTTAATAGGACAGAAAATTAGGTAGGCGGAGTAGAC